TTTTCTGTACCCTATTCTGCCTCATGTAAATAAGGTGGGTCGTCCTTGTGTCAGTTCTTCTCCTATAGTCAACAGACAGGAAGGAGAAGGATCCACGTGCAGATCTACTGTGCATAATTGTGCTGTCTCAGTTTATTTTAAAGTTTATTATAAAACAAAGGCACAGGTAAGTGATTTCCTCCTTGCCTTTGTTTTAAACTAAACTTTAAGGTAAATAGAGGCACAATCGTGCACAGCAGATCTGCACATAAATCCTGCGCCTTCCTGTCTGTTGACCAATAGCAGAGGAGCTGACCAAATAAGGACTGCCCACCGTTTTACATGATGAAGCAGAAATGCATAAGGTAAAGTAAAAACAGGAGACAGAGAAATGTAAAAGCAACACATGGAAATAAAAAGACTTGTGGGAAAATTTTAAAAATTATGTAAATATATTCATTTAAGAGACACAAATGCTTATACAAGTAAAAGGAAAAACAAAAAATATAGTTTTTAAGATAGTAACATTTAAAATATGTGGTAAAATTAGGGATGCAAACAATAAATCGACACGATTAATTGTCTAATAATGGTTTATTAGATTAAAACCTCCGTTTAAACCTTATTTCAGTGGTTTGGCCGTCATCCAGAAGAGGGCTCCACTGCTCTCAGCCTAGCCGTACTCTACCCGGGCCCTTTTGAGCTCCAGCAGAGAGCAGCCTCTATGTGGTCAGCATCATAATTAACCTCGCAAATCTTGTTTAGTTTTATTTGCAACACAACAATAATAATAGACTACACCAAACTCGAAGGAAAAGTACCRAAAGCTGTACGGGACTATCCAGCAGTATGACGCTAAAGACAAGAGAGCAGGACGACAGAGAACAGTAACCTAGCTGTAGCTAACATTAGCTTCTTCTAATAGAGTTTAACTCTGCGTAAAAGAACAAAAACAAAACAAAAAAAGTTACAGTCACTACAGATAATTAACGTGAAGTTAATTTGTTCTTGAGTCAGTGTTCGACAAATCCTATTGCCCGACTGCTTGAGCTTGCTTGCTGAAGTTGATTTTTCAAAATAAGGGTCACATATGATCAGAGTTTTTTTCTTCACTCTTCACCCTTTTAATTCAGGGTAGKATTTACTTTGTTTTTTAATGGTGTTCACAGATTGTTTTGTTTTTATGAATGAAACAAACAAATACAGACATCTCTTAATATATTTTTACAAGGCAAAACACCAATTTAAGATATATCTAATTATCTAATTATGTTCTGACTAGTATAAATAACATCAGATTTATCATTAGGTTGTATGTTGTATTGTTATATGTTGTAAGTATGTTGCATGTTCTGTAAATTGTATTTAAAACAAAGCTGCTGCTGTTGATGATTCTGTTTTTATAAGCAGCCCTCCCAAGGCCAGTACTCTAGGGAAACACTGGAAAGGTCTAAAAATGTTTTTGAAGATGTTTTTGATAATTGACTGACTGTGAGTGACTCAGTCTACAATGTTTGCATCTGTTTAATCAGATGGCATATGTTATGTACCTCTGTGTGTAACCATGTTAATATTTTTGTAGTACAAATACAGTACACGTTTTTCTTATATTATCAAATTTTGAACATTTTTGTTTCGAGCAGGTCACCTGCCCAACAGGGCAGGTAAAAAGGAAAAATTTTGGATGAATATGTCCAAGTTTAATAATGTGTGAGAAATCCACAATTTTCTGTTTATTCAGTCAGTTTTTAGTAAATGGTAAATGGACTCAACTTATAGAGTGCTTTATCAAGTCCCTCCGGACCCCATGTCATTTCATGTCATTGAAAGACCCTTGATTCAAGAGAAATGTCAGGTTCTTAGGTAAATGGCCGCTTATCAATTCATTGTTAGTCAGTCAATAAGATCAATCAACTTTAGATTAATTCATTAATTAATAACTGCGCTCCTATAAAATACATAATTTCTTGGAACTAAGCTGGAAAAATAAATATGGTCAATTATGTTATAAAATATCAGGTAAAGTTCTCCGTTTTAATTTATTTGGTGAATTTTAAGGCTACGGGGGAGAGGAAAAAAACTCCCTATTAAAAGGAAGAAACCTCCAGCAGAACCAGGCTCAGGACAGGCGGCCATCTGCCTCGACCGGCTGGTTGGGGGACAGGAAAGAGACACAGGTAAACACAGAAGAACTGGTCCAGGTGCACCTTCTTCTGGAATTTATTGGTCATTTTATATATTTCTGCTTTTATTTCTAATTGTCAGTTTCGGTCCTCCATAGACTGAATGTTCACAGTTTTAAAGTTAATTAAATCTTAACTTTTTTTTGTTACTAGACACTTTGTTATTTTCTGTCTCTTTAGACATACCTGAGATGTTTCGACATATGCTTCCATCTTCATCAGAGGTGTCACTGCTGATGTTGTTTGGAGGCGGTGTCAGCCCATCAATAAATATTGACAAGCCGACACCGCCTCCTGCTGGCTTCACTGCTGGAGGATGTCACTCCAGGTATACAGAATGAGTTTGTTGGCCCCCTCATCTCGGTTCATAGCTGTGTGGGCTCACTTTCTAATCTCCATTGCCTCCATGATCCAACACTGCTGTTTGTTGTCCTCTCTGTGGATGATTCTGGCTCCTTCCCAATCCATAATATGATTTTCCTGTTTGCAGTTGTCAGTGATAGCTGATTTATAATTTTCTTGCAAAGCTTGTTCTTTTTTTTTGTCTTGTCAGTCTTTCTTCTGTTACTTTCTCACATTCTTTTTAATGTTCTTTCTTCCTTGTAGCCAAGGACCGTCCCGTCTCCCGTTTTTTCACAAGGATGGCATGGTATTTCATATGTTTTATTTTCTCCTCTTACCGTTCACTTGTGTGTTCATATTCTAATATTTGCAAATCTGTTTTCAAAACAAAATTGAGAAGTTATTATTATTATCATTATTTTAATTAAAAAGAAGCACACTTGCAATACTGAAATATTTTTAATTTCTGGGAGGGGGAGGGCACCACAAAGCAGTTGTGCTTAGGGCACCCAAATGACTAGCACCAGCCCTGCCTCTTATTAAAAACTTATTTATAAAACAGGTAGATTTAGATAAAAACCTATTGCATGCTTCCAAGACAGAGTGCTTCGCCCCATCTCTTGACGCTCTCAGCCGGATAAAGTCCTCCGTTTTCTCCTTGCTCCCTAAAAAAAAAATAAAAATATTAGATAATATAATATAATATAATATAATATAATATAATATAATATAATACACTGTATGTATATTTAATGTGTGAGATAATTACACCACCATTACATGTCCACAAGTTAAAAGCGATAACTTTACTATTTTAAAAAAACATCATACGTAAATGTAGAAAAAGGTTTAAACTTCATTTAGTTTCGATGTGTTATTTAACATCTTATTGCAATAAAAAGACAGCTAGGTTAAAATACAACTTACATTTAAAAATGAATTCATCCGCTGACGACGGTGCAATGCATTCTGGGATACCATGGGCTGCGTAGTGCTCAGATGCAGCTGACAAAAACTCGAAAACGTCGGCCGCATTCGTAGGCACTGACAAATCGGGACAGCCTACGGTGCAGGTGAGTGACGTCAGTGGCCAACGAATGCGGTCCACGTCGGCTGCAACCCATGAATTGAGACACAGCCGCTGAGCTTCTGCTTCACAGAGAATTTCAAGACGTTTAGAAACAGATATTTGATTTGATTTATGATTTATTGCAGACATGTCAAATTCATTACATAACGCATAGTCTGAATCTATATATCTCAATATACCCTTTCACATATCTACAAAAAATGAAACCATTTAGACTAATTATACACAAATAAATCCATACAATAAATATACACCAGATGTGCACACACCTATCGGTGTACACCTACTCTAGTACATACACTCACATGAAGCACATATATCCCATTGACATGTCTGAAAAGGGGTAGGAAGAAGTTAAACTTATTTAATCCTAGCCCTATTCACCACTTCATCTGGGTTTTCAGAGYCTTGTCAGTTTGTGATGAAAACAAAACAAACAAAAAATATACACATGTAAAGGAGATCCAACCACCACTCCAATATAACATAATTAATCCACATACATAACCCCATATAGATTACAGTCATACTGATATATACAATCCCATATACAGCATTGAGACACATATTTTAAGTTTACATCACATTATCATTCCTATACTTGTCAAAAATCATTAGCCTGAGCCTTTTCTTAAACAAACTCATGTTTGGACATTGCTTCAGTTCTTGATTGAATTTATTCAGGACCCTTACACCACTGACTGAGGTGCAAGTTCTTTTCATAGTTGTTTGAACACTCCTGGTTCTGAAATTTTGGTTTTCCCTGACATCATAACCCCCCACTCTATCCATAAAAGGTTTGTGTACACTGCTCAAAAAAAATAAAGGGAACACTTAAACAACGCAATATAACTCCAAGTATATCAAACTTCTGTGAAATCAAACGGTCCACTTTGGAAGCATCACTGATTGACAATCAATTTCACATACTGTTGTGTAAATGGAAAAGACAACAGGTGGAAATTATTGGCAATTAGCAAGACACACTCAACAAAGGAGTGGTTCTGCAGGTGAGGACCACAGACCACTTCTCAGTACCTATGCTGTCTGGCTGATGTTTTGGTCAGTTTTGAATGTTGGTGGTGCTTTCACACTTGTGGTAGCATGACACGGACTCTACAACCCACAAAAGTGGCTCAGGTAGTGCAGCTCATCCAGGATGGCACATCAATGCGAGCTGTGGCAAGGTTTGCTGTGTCTGGCAGCATAGTGTCCAGAGGCTGGAGGCGCTACCAGGTGACCAGCCAGTACACCAGGAGACATGGAGGAGGCCGTAGGAGGACAACAACCCAGCAGCAGGACCGCTACCTCTGCCTTTGTGCAAGGAGGAACAGGAGGAGCACTGCCAGAGCCCTGCAAAATGACCTCCAGCAGGCCACAAACGTGCATGTTTCTGCACAAACTGTTAGGAACCGACTTCACAAGGATGGTATGAGGGCTCAATGTCCACAGATGGGGGTTGTGCTCGCAGCCCAATACTGTGCAGGACGCTTGGCATTTGCCAGTGAACACCAGGATTGGCAAATTTGCCACTGGTGCCCTGCGCTCTTCACAGATGAAAGCAGGTTCACCCTGACACGTGACAGATGYGACAGAGTCTAGAGATACCGTGGAGAGCAATCTGCTGCCTGCAACATCCTTCAGCATGACCGGTTTGGCAGTGGGTCAGTAATGGTGTGGGGTGGTATTTCTTTGGAGGGTCGCACAGCCCTCCATGTGCTCTCCAGAGGTAGCCTGACTGCTTTAGGTACCGAGATGAGATCCTCAGACCCCTTGTGAGACCATAGGCTGGTATGGTTGGCCCTGGGTTCCTCCTAATGCAGGACAATGCTAGACCTCATGAGTCTGGAGTGTGTCAGCAGTTCCTGCAAGATGAAGGCATTGAAGCTATGGATTGGCCCGCCCGTTCCCTAGACCTGAATCCGATTGAGCACATCTGGGACATCATGTCTTGCTCCATCCACCAACGTCACGTTGCACCACAGACTGTCCAGGAGTTGGCGGATGCTTTAGTCTAGGTCTGGGAGGAGATCCCTCCGGAGACCATCTGCCACCTCATCAGGAGCATGCCCAGGCGTTGTAGGGAGGTCATACAGGCATGTGGAGGCCACACACAATACTGAGCCTCATTTTGACTTGTTTGAAGGACATTACATCAAAGCTGGATCAGCCTGTAATGTGTTTTTCCACTTTAATTTTGCATGTGACTCCAAATACAGGCCTCCATTGGTTAATAAACTTGATTTCCATTGATGATTTTTGTGTGATTCTGTTGTCAGTACATTCAACTTTGTACAGAACAAAGTATTCAATGAGAATATTTTATTCATTCAGATCTAGGATGTTATTTGAGTGTTCCCTTTATTTTTTTGAGCAGCGTATATTATCTGGTAGTTGTTTATTCCTAGCTTTATACATCACTTGAGCTGTTTTAAATTCAACCAGGTCTAAGAGTTTGAACAAGCAGGATTTGGTAAATAACTCAGTGGTGTGATCCTGGAAGCCTACCTTATGAACCATTCTGATAGCTCTTTTCTGGAGTGCACAACGGTCTGAGTGAGGATTTGTAGGTGTTTCCCCAGACTTCCACACAATAATTAAAATATGGCAAAATACGTGAATATACAATATGCAATGCTTTATCATTTAAAAAATATCTAGCTTTACTGAGGACTGAGATACTTCTTGATATTTTAGCTTGAACATACTGAATATGAGTTTTCCAGAAGATCTTGTGGTCAATCACCACACCCAGAAACTTAATTTCATTAACTCCGTCTACATATACATCCTCATTTCCTATTTTAATATCACTATTTCCTTTACGATTTCCAAACAACATAAATTTGGTTTTGTCCAAATTTAACAATAAATTATTTTTATCAAGCCACTTTTTTAATTAATTGAATTCTGGATATGATGTGAAGTCAAGTTCATTTTATATTTAAACATATAAGTAACATTTTATAACAACTGAAGTTGAAAAAATTACTTTATGGTATAGAATTTAAATAAATGCCTGAAAAACACATAATATTGCCCCTTTATTACTTATGTTAATTTAACTCCTCCATATAACTCCTGTGGGACCTCATGTAGGAGTTATTATAATATTTACAATGAAACAGATTTCTCTGTTGTGTGGACGCTCATGTGTCTGTTTAAATGTGACTTTTGGTTAAATCTTTGTCCACAAACATCACAAGGAAATGGTTTGTCTCCTGTGTGGACTCTGGTGTGTTTGTTTAAAGACGACTTTTGGCTAAATCTTTGTCCACAAAGATCACAAGGAAATGGTTTGTCTCCTGTGTGGACTCTCATGTGTGTGTTTAAATGTGACTTTTGGTTAAATCTTTGTCCACAAAGATCACAAGGAAATGGTTTGTCTCCTGTGTGGACTCTCATATGTCTGCTTAAATGTGTTTTACAGCTAAAGCTTTGTCCACAAAGATCACAAGGAAATGGTTTGTCTCCTGTGTGGACTCTCATGTGTGTGTTTAAATTTGACTTTTGGTTAAATCTTTGTCCACAAAGATCACAAGGAAATGGTTTGTCTCCTGCGTGGACTCTCATGTGTCTGATTAAATATGACTTTCGGGTAAATCTTTGTCCACAAAGATCACAAGGAAATGGTTTGTCTCCTGTGTGGACTCTCATGTGTTTGTTTAAATGTGACTTTTCAATAAATCTTTGTCCACAAAGATCACAAGGAAATGGTTTGTCTCCTGTGTGGACTCTCATGTGAGCTTTTAAACCGTCTTTTCTTGTAAATTTTTTATCACAATCATTACACTTGAATAACTTTGGTTCTGTCTGGTCTCCTAAATGACAGGACATGTGTCTCTTAAGAGAC